TCAGCAGCTAAAAGGGAAGAGAGTAGAATATTGATATTTAAATTTATGAGTTTAGATGTGAAGGCAGTATATGTTAGATGATAATACAGTTAAACAAATATGTCAGAGTGGTATACATTTTAATGCACATCCTGATAAAATTTTAAGGGGCTGCGATTTTGATTGAAAATAACAGACTTTGGGAGCTGGCTATTTTCCTTTGAAAAAAGAAGGCAATATCAAAGTTTAAGAATATTTTCAGGTATACTTTATTTCATATGCGACTTATCTGCAAACATTTATATCAAGCTATTAACCTCAACCATGTATAGTGACCCCTTTTAAAAGTACTGCCATCAAGGAATACAAATGTCTCTGCTGTTTTCTGCACATGTCTATTTCTTTTTGGTTTGTGCCTCATACTATTTTAATAAGACTCTTGACCACCCAGCTTCTTGAGCCTTCAGCCCCAAAGCGCTTATATTAGAGATGTAAGTATACATTGGTTCAAGGTGACCATAAACATGCCTGTTTAGTGAACTTGCTTTTCCAAAAGAGGTTTTTTCTTGTTAAAATTATCTGGAATCGAGACACAGGCAAATGTTTCTGAGGAGTAAACTTTCAATATAAGACAATTATGTATATGATATAGTCTCCCTTTTACTGAATTTCTGTGGTCATAAGCATATGGCCTTGTAGTACATAGATCAGGAGAAACTAATTAGTTTAAAAGATACATATATGCTAGGGACATGCCACACTGGGATTTTGTGACAAATTTAAAAGAGTAGCAGGTTTCATATCAAATCTTTTCTGTAATGTTTCTCTGAGATTGAATTCATATTAGCCAATCTCAATATTTTTCTTGTTTTTTCCAGTCAGCTCTTCATTATTCTGCTGCTGCTGTTTCAGATATTTTATTAGTTTCTTAATACAATAATCATGCACATTTACAAAGATGAATATGATAGATACTGGTGTTTTATTAGAAAATAATGGTAAGTATAGTTTTGGAAGAAAAATATATGGAGGGATTTCTATGCCTTATTTTCCAGCAAATATGATAAAAGTTCTCGTCCCACCAGGCATAGAAAGTTGATATGACAATATTTGAAAACCTAATGTGCCTAAATGAAGGAAGGCACATGAGCCATTCATTACTGATTTGGAGGAAAAATTTCAGAACTCATCCATTCACTTAATACATGAATCCAGATTTGACACACTGACAAAGACTTATTCATAGAATCATAGAATCATAGAATGGTTTAGGTTGGAAGGGACCTTGAAAATCATCTAGTTCCAACCCCCTGCCATAGGCAGTGACACCTCCCACTAGACCAAGTTGCCGAAGGCCACATCCAGCCTGGCCTTGAACACCTCCAGGGATGAGGCCTCTTTCAGAGATCCTGAAAGATACTTGAAGTCCCCAAAATATATCGATACGTACAATTTCATCCCCTTTATATCTTATCTGTCTTTTCATTTCATGCATTGATTTTTACGTTCATGATTGTGGGACTATTTGTGGTTGATGCATAATCTGTTTGCAGACATTTGTATAAAGCTATTAACCTGTGTCACCTTGAGTGACAGTTTCTGAAAACTTTATCATCAAGGAACATAGCTGTCATTGCTTTCACGTTTTCATTCTTTTAACTTTCTTCTGTCTTAAGTGGTAAAACAACACCATTGTGTTTGGTCCATAGGTTTAGTGACCAAAATAACTATTTTATGTTTAGTTTAGCCTTCTGTATATTTGCAATATAGCATATATTAATTATAGCATTTACTTTCATATCCTGATAAGGAGAATACATGACTATTAGGATTATGACATTTAAGATATTGTAAATTTATTATTTATGCGGTCCTTGTGCAAGCTAATAAATCCCAAGGTTTCCTTTGTATTACATGTTCCCTCTGCAAGCTATGAACCTAGGGGTTTTGTGTGTATTACTAGCTTCCTATGCTAAATTATCACACTTGTAGTCTTATTCCTTCTCCCTGAACTCAGCTAAATTACTTTGTGGTAAGGGCTCTTTGCACATTTCTGTATATCCTTCTGCTTTCTCTTTCCGTCTTCCAATATTTTTTATTCCCCACCTGTTTTTCTCTTTCATTTTATCAATATATGGATATTTTAGGATACCAGATATCCAGGAAGATGGGCAGAGACAAACATGATATGTACTGTCATCTGAAATGTGCCAGAGGTTTTCAGTGTACAACAGACAGCTTAACATTATGAATTTTACTTACTAAAAGATAATGTTTTAATAATGCAAACTGGATTGCATCCATTTTTGCCTAGAACTTCACTTAACATCCATGTGACTCAAAATATCTACAAGTTTTCTCGCTCATGATTAGCCCATGGAGAACACCTCATATCCTTGCTAGTTCAGGTACCTAGCTTTAATTGAATAAAAATAAGAATTTGCCACATAGCTTTTGTGCATATATGCAAGATGATACTTTAATTTTCAGTATACAAGATGTGAGTAGCATTTAACCCACTGAAAATTCCTAACTGCATTTCTACAATTATAATGTATAATACAGGTGGTGAACAAACAATAATAATAAATAAATAAGCAAATAAATAAAAAAAAGCCAACCCTTGACTTCAAATTTAAAATCTAAGGTTTGGGTTGGCCACTTCCATTCAGGAGTGAAATTTTGGGCCTATGAAATATGAACTTCTGGAAAAATCAGCTTGTAGCTCTGTAGTTACAAGTTATCAAAAGTTACAAGTTATTAGGAAAGAAAAAGATAATAAAGCAGAACACATAATTATGCCACCATAGAAGTTCATGAACTTGAACCCTTCACCAAAAAAAAAAAAAAATCTAACAGAACTGAAAGGTTCAGAAAAAGCCAACAAGGGATATAAAAGATATTAATCTTCTTTCATATAAGCAGTTATTAACAAAGCTAAGACTCCACGGTCTAGAATACAGTCAACTAGCAGAGAACATGACTGAAGTCTAGAACATTATAAGGAACTTGGTATGGTAGGGCTCAATTATTCATTTTCTATTTCAATAGAAGAATTAGGGGGTGCTGAATGAAAGAAATAAATGAAACAAATTGAGTGAAAGCAAGTGAAGCAGCAGGAGCCAGGTTCAAAACAGAGGGAGGTAAACCGTTTTATACAGATAGTTATAGGTCAAATTTGTTGGGAAAATGTATTGTAGATGCAACAAAGTTCAAAGTGAGTTCAAAGGAAATTCATGGAAGATAAGTCCCTGAGAATTACAAAATGAATGGAAAAGACATCCACCTCAGAATGTCCCTGATCTGAAAGTTGGATATGGGGGAATATTAAGGGAAATTACTATATATTTGAAAACAGTCTTATGGCTTTCTCCATAGGCATTGACTTATGGCCACAGTTGGAGACATATTTTGTCAGGCTAGATGAACCTTCTTTGCTTCTTTTACGAAGCAGGACTGTTGTCTGTTAGGTCATCAGCCTGCAAAATAAGAGTTCTGGATCACCAGTTGAGATACTGCAATGTTTAATGCTTTTCTTTGGACCTGAATAGATTCCTTTCATGACTGACATCTAAAATCAGAAGCAAGAGTCTGTTGTCTACATGTACAAGCTATTGATATTTCAGATGTCACAGAAAATGTGTTATCTGCAAAAGGCTGACAGATGCATGCATTCTTCAGCAGCTATTGAAGTCCAGATGAAATAGTCGAGAGTCCTTAAAAGGAATCTAGCTGCCTGTTTAGGCAACTGCAAAGCAGTTTGCATGTATGTATCTGTGAGGGATGTATCTCCTCACAGACTCTGGGAACTAAATTATTCTGCTTCCTGGCCTTCAGCCACTTCTCTGAAAATGACTGGGTCTCCCAGACAGGTGTTCTATGAGATCTAGAAATCTACCAGACTGTACAGATGTGTTGCCATATGCAATTAAAACTATTCTAATTTGATAGTCAGCAGAATATAGGGATCAGCATTAAGAGACAATAAACAGTGAGAGTTTGATCGACTTCTGATGCCTTCGGGTATAGAGATATCTATGTGGATCTGTCAGATATGGCACAAAATCTGCATCAGCATTGCACTCTTCTGACCTGACATCAGCGAGATCACAGAATCATTCAGGCGGGAGTAAACCTCAGGAGGTCTCAAGTCCAACCTCGCTCTCAAAGCTGCGTCAGCTATGAGGTTGGTCCAAGATGAAAACTTATAGGGTGATTTACAGCATCTCAAGAGGCAGTAGATATGTACATACAGACAAGTGAATCAAACATTTAAGATTTACAACTTGTAGCCTCCTTCCTTGGAATGATAATAGAATATTCTTTCAGCTGTATGCACTGAGCACCTGTTTTGGTAACTAATGATTATAGTTTTTATGCTCATTGTAACGGTAGTTACATTATCTGCATTATTAATCTTTAATTTTGCAATAAGATGGCAAAATAATAGATTCAAAATTGCACAAACAAGTTCTTTTAAGGAAAGCTTTTTTTATTTGTTTTGTTTTTTATTGGGTTTGTTGTTGCTGTCAGGTGGGGGGTTTTTTTGTGTGTGTGTTTGTTTTGGTTTGGTTTTAAGAATAAGGTATTTTCCTAGAAAGTATTACATAAAATACTATAGAATGTTGTCATGTTAATGTGACTGCACATTCAAGATGCTTGGTCGCAAAGAGATGCCTTCTGGATCCTTTCAGTCTTACGTTGGAAACCACTAAAAATAAGTCAGGCTGTAGCCTACAAGACAATACTTAATTTTCTTCAGTGTTTTCAGTAAGGGAGTAGTAAGACTGTAGTCTTAAGGGATGGTGAAACAGTGATCTAAAAGTTGCCCGTAGTCCTTCAAAAACCAACTAAATACTTATTTTCCTGTCCCTCCTCTAAAAAAACCCATAGCCCTACAAACCCCTGTATTCTACAATGAAGTGATATACTTATGACATCTGTTTTGTGATCTTTCATTGCATGGTATTGCTTTTCTAGGAATTTTGAGCATTTTTGATTCATGATTGTGTCATTCACAGATATTGGCTGACCTAGAAAACCACGTGCTTTTTAAGGATGACCTAGAATGCCAGAAGCTTATTCTGGAAGCCATGAAATACCATCTTTTACCAGAGAGAAGAACCCTCATGCAAAGTCCAAGAACTAAACCTAGAAAATCTACGGTTGGGACACTTTATGCTGTTGGAGGAATGGATAACAACAAAGGTATTAGAGGATATTTGTTACTTCATAGAAGTTATATTTTGCATTTTCTTTATTAGAAAATAGTGAAATACCTTTCTATTCCAAGATGGGTGTGGGGGTGTCTAAGTCAGTCAAAAAATGCTCCCAAGACTTTTGGTCCAATGAAAATCTACTGATATTTAAGGAAAAATGTAATACTGTTAGAGAAAAGAAACTGAGTTTTTAGTTCTTTTTTTGTTCAAAATTATTATAATTTCCAAAAAGAATTTTAACAAAAAATCTGGAGTAACATTAATTTATCTTACTTTTAGCTTTCTAGAAATTTTGTTTTGTTTATAAGTAAGTGAAGTATGTATGCACCTTTTCTAATCAATGAAAAAAAGGAAGTTTAATATGCAGTGTATTCCATCCTTAGGTAAGTGTCTGAAATATTATGGATGATTTGTATTCTTCTGATGCAGAAATTTATTGCTCACCTAGAGAAAAAGCCTAGACAACTAGCTTAAACTCGATCGCTACTTTGTCAACAGCTAAAAGAAGGTGAAATTATCCCGATCTTACTGTGAAGAAAAGTAGGAAGCAGTGGAAATTTTATTAAATTATTTTGTTGTTATTTGTTTGGAGTAAGAGTTATGAATATGTGGGTTTTATTTCTGCTGAGAAGTCTAATACAGGGATTTCTTGAACAGAATGAAATAAAATATTTAAACTAAAAGCTAGCTGTGTTATAAGACTATATACTCGGAAAGGCTTTTCTTATTATTTCTTCTTGAAATTCACTAACAATTCCACAGTATCTTACACTTAAATGTCTATATTTAGACTGAAATATATGCCTTCAGAAAGATTAGTTCTAATATAAAATAAACTGTACTTTAAAAAATTATAATATAAAATTAGATCTTCAGTATTTCACAACTCCGCTTCTAGGTGTAGTTATTTCAATTTTTTTTACTAAATAGCTGTGGCAATATCATCTGCAAAAGGACATTGCATATTTTTCCCATAAAATTACACCAATGAGAAAGATGTATGACACCTGTGCTTGTGAGAAAGAAATGTTGAGAATATTGTGGAGGAAAGAACCAATAGGCATCTTTTCTTCTTATAGCTGTGAATTATTTTTGTCCTTTTAACATTTATAAATGTTTGTGGAGCTAAATGTTTGGCATGGATTTTCACAGAACATTGCCTTTGGATCATAAAATACCTGAAATACAAATTTTCTCTTTCCTATGACAAACACTTTAAGCATTCAGGTAGTGGAAATGACCATAATCCCAATTTAGGTGCAGCGGTATTTGTTCAGTCTTACTGTACAGATTGGTTCCTGGTTCACATAGCAAATCAAATACAGAAATATTTAGGAAGAAGCACAGAGTGTAGCACCGGCGCAGCATCAACACACAGCCTATTTTGCAGATTCAGGTCAGGCAGAAGCAGTTTATTTCAGCCCTATGTTGATATGAACTCTGACTGAAAACAAAAGTACCAGGTTTTATATACATTGATAGCGGATAAAAACTGCTTTGAGAGGGGGCCTGGTATGGCAGAGCAACATCTACATAGTAGCAGCCTTTGTTGCAGCTGATGTAATGTGTATTCCCGATAACTTGGGATCTGCAGCTGTGTGAACTCAACTTTCATCCGTTCAGCTCATCCCTCTCATGATGCTGCTGTGTCCTTGTCTGTATTTTAGGACCAGCAAGGCTTGCTTCTGCATGTGAGTTCAGGAGATCTGAGTGCTCTTGGCATGTACTGAAGAGCCACTGTGAGTTCATAAAGCGTACCTCAATATTTCGGCCGTGAGATGATGCTGATACTGTATTATCTCTCCTCAATAATTAATAACTTTTTTATTCCACAACTTTCTCCACTGAAATGCTGACATGGATGATTGTGATTCACAATGATATATTTTTAATGTCTCCTGGTGTTTGCTACCAAATATGAAACATATAAGAACTAGATGAGCTAAGCAAATTAGCAGTTTATTAGCTAGAATATAAAACAGTGGGTAAGCGGTAGTATTATGAAAGTATTTGAAGGTTATGTGGCCCATCACATAAAAAGTAGCCTAGCATGTTAAATCAAATTTGTTTTGAAATCTCTTCTGTAGTTTTTTTTTTTCCTTTCCATAAAAAAAGAGGTGATAATTAAACTCCAGCAGCTGGTGACTGGAATTATGCCAAATATGTGAAAAGTTAATGCAGCATAGTACTAACTGGATAGAATTAAAAGGAACAAAGTTAGATCATTTTGTAATTTTAATTTCCTAAATGTGCAAAACCTCATTTAAATCTCTGTTTCCACACACCTTTGTTTATTTATTCATTTAATTTGAAAGACACATATCGGAAATAGATTCTGTCTATATGTTCACATTAATAGAATGAGATATATTAATAGATTAGAGGTGTATGCTCTGACAGTGTTCCATTCACCTTATCCATTCATATCTTCACACTGACTTCTGTAATTTGGATTAATAGGATTTAATAATCTAGAAGTATATAAAAGATGTCTAGGTGTACGTATAAAGGAAGATGATAGACTGAAATAAGTGAGTAAACGCAAGTTAACATACACCAGTTTGCAAGAATAGCAAAACACTGACTTCTTGCCGCTCTCTTGGAATCCCCAATGCAGAACAAAAACCATGTGACAGAACATGATGTATACAGTCTATGTTAGAGAGTGCCATGGAAGATTATGATGAGGAAAATACATTTGCACAGCAAGAGGACACTGGTATAAAAAATGGAGCAGTGTTATATTGATGGCAAAATACTGATTGATCTCTCATGATGTGTTCTAATGTGTCTCACTACCTAGTTGGTAGAATAATAAGGGACAAGGACAATCTGCAGAGAAAAGAAAACTAAGAAAACAAAAATGTCAGGGTAACCATAGTCCGAAAACACAGGTTTTTATTTCTTTTGGAGTAGTCTGTCAAAATGCTAGATTGTTCGTTATTTACTGGATCATAGACTTTAAGTAAATACAAAGGAAAACAAATGAAAAATTGCGTGAGCAAGAAAATCTTCCATGAAAAATGTAACGGGTCATTAACAAAAAGAGGGAAAAGTTGATTTACTGAAACACTGATATTAAATATGTGGTTTTCATTAATTTTTTCATTAGGTATAAAAACCTATTGCAGAAGTTGCTCTGGTGGTAAATAAGTGAGATGCATCATTAATCTGTATCAAGCAATATTAAAAGTCCTTTAATTATTATTTAGATATTTCTATATTTTTGATATTACCACAGATATATTAAAAAAGGAATCTTTTGAAATGTGAAATTGTGAGGTCTCCAGTCATTGTTCCTGAAACTCCCATGTTGCATATTTTTCCTTTTCTTTAATGGTTTTAAATAATTTTTAATAATCCTTTTTTTCTTTACAAATATAGTTTATCAAATGTGGTTTATTACTTATGATTGTTTCACAGGTATGTCATTTAACATGAAGTTACTCTTTTGCTCTGATGAACTTCAAAGATGTCCTTGTTTTTTCTGGGCTTTTGGGTTTTTTTTTAGTTTCTAGCAAGACATTTCTCACAGCATACTTTACTTAAACCTTATTTATCTATCTTAATTTTGTATTTTTCATTCTCAGAGAGGCATACTTTTTAAATACCGAAAGAAATAATGGAAAACCTGTTGTAAATACTATAAATAAAAGCAGAAATAGGGAAAG